ATCTGGCAACGCTGTTAAACTGTTCGAATTCTTCTTGGAGGAGGCAACTTCCGCAGAAAGATTCAACATGCAATAATAAGAGCAACAAGCTTTCTCTTCTTGCATCCAACTAATGACTGGGATCAGGCTGGGCACGTGCATCAGCACTCGAAGCCTTCAAATTCAAATCATCATCAGCAATAAGAGCAATAATCACCTATTTAACGCAAACAAATCGTCTGACTTCCCTGTATTGCATGAGCACCATCCTGGATTTAACTGTGATCAAAACCAGAAGCCCAGCTAATAGAACCTTCAAGAATCATTGACACATAACGCTGAAACTTTCTGCTGAGTCCAGGTGTAATGAGTGGTCATCTTTCGGCTACTTCTTCACCTTCAAGCCGGCAACAACAACTGGTGGTGCACGGCAGGATGCATGCAGTTCCACTGGCGACCTGCAACTGGTGGTGCACGACACTGATATCATCACTGATCAGTAATCAACCAAGGATCATCACCCTCGTGCTTATATGGTACCAAACACTGTTGGTATGTTAACAATTAGATTGGGGTTATTTCATCAAGCGGTGAACTTGCGGGTCCAAAAATGGCGGGAAAGCTCTAATCGCGCTGCTCTGAAGGTAATCTATATAATCCACGCCTACGCTGGAGAAAGTTCAAACTTCCGAGTCGGAACTTGATACGGCAAATTTGTAGTACACCAGAAAATACCAGATTTAGGCAAATATACCAGATCTAAAATATTCATACCAGACACCTTCTGAAAATACCAGATTTGTGAAATCTGGTTTAGAAATATACCATCTGGCGCTGCACGGCAGGATGCCAGCGTATTTGGTATTTTTCTGGTATTTTCTGACTTACTGCAAATTTACTGCATTAAGTTCCACCTCTGAAGTTTGAATTTCTTCTAACGTAGGCGTGGATTATATAGATTACCATCAGAGTGGTGCGACTAAAGGTTTCCCGCCATTTTTGGAACCGCAAGTTTACCGCTTGATGAAATAACCCCAATCTAATTGTTAACACAAGTGCCCATTGCCCAATTAGGACCTACTTCACTGGACACTGGGTCCTGAGTTGTTCAAAAATTTTAGAAGATATCATACACGTTCTGGTTCAGCTACACTGGAGTGAGTGAGTATTTTGAGCTAGGCAATCTGGTATTCTCGCCAAGAAAAAACCTGGCAACACTGCAGGATGCATGCAGTTCCACTGGCGACCTGCTGTTGGTCGCAGTCCGTTGTCCGTAAGTTACAGTTCAGCTAAATTCAGGGTATGAAGTGATGATTCGATGCAACGTTCAATGGTGGACAACCATTACTCTCTGGGCTATTCACTTCAGATTGAGTTCAGAATATGGTGGCGTAAAGCTCCTAATATTCAAAGTAAGATGATGTCACGGGCTGGTTAACGACGGATGGCTTCATCCGCGGCTGATTGGTGGTCATGCCTCATGCGAAAATACGCTAGGCGTCTAGCGTTCCTTTCAGGGTTGATGGGTGCACAAATTTGGTGGTGCAGAGCTCCGTACCCCAGGGCATTAGGCCATGCTGGCGGCTGGCCTGTCGCCGATTTTAAAATAACTTGCCTCCTGGCTCCTTGCCGATTTCTACGAGAAGTTCACAAGCTGTCCCAATCATCCAATGTTCCAATCTTGCTAGTTGCTAATCTTTGTTAGCGACTAGGCCTACCGCCGAGCTACCGGTGGTCTCGCTGGGTTGTGACTTGTGAGCGTGGAGGACTGGAGGAGTATGAAGCTGTGACTGTGTGCAATGTGAGGAAAACCGGACACCATAGTGGCAAACCAGAGATTTTTCTAGAATCAGTTCATTTTTAATTTCCTCATTTACTCAATATTTAAGCCAATTTCTTATGTATGATAATGCTGGACTTGCTGGTAGTGGTATGTATCCATGATACTTTACTGGTCTACTTATAGTACTCAAAATTGAACTTGAGGGAGAGTCTAAAAAACTCTCTGCTTTGCCACTATGCCGGACACTTGCCTTTTAAGAGAAGATACTTCTTAGATTTACCTGCGGTGATGCTGGTGCGATAAGTAAAGATATGTGCATGCTAAAGACTAGGTACCTAAGACATCCAGATTCCGCAGAGCATGCTAAGGACCTGAGACATTCGGACAATCTTTAATTTTGCAGATAATCAGAGAGGTAAATTAGATCTTTAATCAGAGTTCAATGTCTTGGTCTGGACTCTGGAGTCTGGACCATCTGGTGGAACTGGAATAACACTAGAATTTTTTTTTTTGTCACAGGAGGCTAGGAGCATACTGCATACCTATGTTCAGTCTTAAAATGCCTAACAAATTTAGTAACAAATTATGTACCACTCGACCAGGCAATACCTAAGTCGGTAAGTCCAGCAGCTATCTCAATCAATCAATTCAGTTATGGAAGGATTGGGTTCCAAAGGCCGGATACATTGTGAATCAAGTCACAAAAAATTCAAGAATCAGCAACAGGCCATGGGCCTATTTCTTCAGTACTGACACTTCTATTCTATATGATAATGATCATATACCTAGCCTACTTGTGCCATAAGGCACAGGTGACAGGACATCCTGCATACAAGTGATACAACCGATTACCGATGGAGATAAGGCATATATATAAGCAAACCCGTTGAAATACTGTGAGTGTGAGACACAGCAAGAGAAGATGTTAAGAATGTACACAGACAAATGCATAGCACGTAGACTTAGGTAATAGGTATGGCAGTAAGATATGGGAGTCAAGCTTCAGCCTTCAAGCAACACTAAGCTATTGTTTTGTTCCCTTCACTGACCAGTGCCCATTGCCCAATTAGGACCTACTTCACTTCACTGGACACTGGGTCCTGAGTTGTTCAAAAATTTTAGAAGATATACACGTTCTGGTTCAGCTACACTGGAGTGAGTGGAGTCTGGAGCTGTGACTTGCTGTGGAGTGTGGAGGCAGTGGAGCATAAGAACTTAATTAGTAAGGTTGGCAGTTGGAACAGACCGCACAGTGCACGAGTGCAGTTGGAATGGATCCCTTGCTGACAACTTAGGCCAGAGTGAGTCCAGACTCCAGACTGCCAGACCATTTTAGGATTCTAGGAGCTGAATAATAAATGACTCCTAAATGTTAGTTGGCTTGGCTTATATATTATATATAAGCCCAATAATGCATGAAAGTAGGCTAATGTTAAGATAGAGCAAGCAAAAAATTTACAGGGCCTATTTTCTTCTGCTATCTCTTCCAGTCTTCCTTAATCCTTTATATACATAATTTGCATTATCTTTGCATTGATGCAACATTTGTTAAATTGTATTCAGGTAGGTAATTTAATTTGCATTTAAATTAGTTTTTTTTTGGTACATTTTCATCTGTTGTGAAATTTATACATCAAAGCAATGGACATAACCACCATTTTCAAACTTAGAAAATTTAAGATGCATCTGGTTTAAAACTTCAAGTCCTGTTCAAGTTCTACTGGTTGGTCAATGAGAGAGGAAAATTTGATGTGTAATTGTGATTATGAGTGGCTGCAATGCTGCATCATCTACTACATAAGCTACAAAAAACTGAAAATAAAAGATGTCTAAGCCCAAATGTTTTCTTGTTGGCTGGTCCTGATCTATTCTATTGTCTATACCTGTAGGCCATATGGCTGTAGCTAATTATTATTTCTTAAGACCTCATTGCTGATCTCAAACAAGCTATCTAATGCTCCAATTCTGCATTAGTATTCTGAAGTGCAAACACTCCTGACTCCTACAAGCTACATTCTACACAGCTACAACCTACAGGCTACAAGTGGAAATTCTTTCTAAAATTATATTTGGTTACTACTCCAAGTGTCAAATTGGGATGGTCTGGAGAGAGATACAATTAATGTGCTCTGAGCCTCTGCTGCTCCTGTTGAATCATGCCTGTCTAGCCTGAGGACTGAGTCTGCTGAGAGTGAGTGGCGTGCCTTTTCTTCTGTTCCATGTATCATGATGGCTTCACAGTTCACACCACCCTTACCAGTTACCAAAGCCAACTTGTTTGGTCAAACTCAATCATTCCAGGATTGTGGGCAAAGTGGCCAGATTTGAGCTCCAGAAAACTTACACAATTTGGTCATTATTAGCTAGGCTGAGTCTAGGGACTCAGGGAGTGTTACTCTCTATTCACATGTGATGAGCTGATCAGAGCTTTGAGATTTGTGATGAATAAGGATGATCTTACTGGTGATCTTCTTACCTCCATAATGGCTTCATAAAGCTGAAAGCACTAGAACTGGAATGTGAGCACCATAAATTTATTTTGACTCTGTTCAATCAAAGCTTTCAACTTGGTTTGTATCCTTTATTCTGGAAGGAAGGAGTTGTTCTTTTTGTTTTGAAGCTTGGCAGGGACCCCAGCCTTCCTTTATCCTGCTGAACAATAACCCTACTCCTATGTCTTGGAAAACTGCTAAAACTACTTGTTGCTGCGTGTCTAGAGTATATAATGGATCACAAGAAACTCCTGTCATCAAGTCAATGTCAATTTTGTCAACAGCAAGTATATATACTATGGACATTCTCATCTGACTGGAGAGTCCTATAAGGCTATATGTACTGCTCAAGCAGCATCCTTGTGTTTGCATTTTTTTTCTATAGACCAGCAGGCAGCAGGGAGCCTTTAATAAAGTATGGATTGATAGAGTTCCCTACAAGCTGGTGCAAGCTGGTCCATGTGGAGCAATGTCACTACTCACAATGGCTTCATGCTTACATGAATTCCTGCACTGCTTTAATTAGAGTGAATGGAGTGCTGTTGGAGTCACTTCCCATGTTGGTGGGGAGGCCTTTAGGTGCCGTACCAAGTCCCCTTCTCTTCAATCTTATGCTAAGGAATAACCCACAGCTTGTTGGCATAGATATATTGCTTTATGCAGTAATGCACATGATACCACCATTTGTTGCTATGGCCCAATCATGCATGATGCCAAATCTCTCATGCAGAGATACTTGAATGAGTTTTGTTCATAGTGTACAACATGAGGCTTGGTTGTGAATATCCAAAAAACAGTTTCCCATTATTTCACTACTAATGGGTGAATGTACCAGTACTGTGGTATCCTTATCAAGATATCACATACTTGCATTGATCAGCACAAGCTTCTTGGAATGATGCTCAACACCCTGTGTCACAAGTGGGTTCCTCACCTTACTTATCTGTGTGTTGATGTGATGAGACTGTTGAGACATGTGGATATGCTTAAACATATGGCATCTCCAATCTGGGGTGAAAGATCCTGTTTCTTGCACATATTTTACTGTGCCTACATTAGAGCCAAGATTGCTTATGGTAGTGTTCTGTATGAAACAGCCTCTTCTGCCTAGTTGAAGCGGCTAGAAGTCTTGCAGATAATCTTTAATTTTTTTTAAGTCTTGCGGATAATCAGAGAGGTAATTTAGACCTTTAATCAGAGTTCAATGTCTTGGTCTGGTGGAAAATCAGCTGGAGAAAATAAACGGTTGTCTGTCAAATGTAATTTTTTTCCTGGTAGAAATAAACTGGAATTAGAAATGGAAATGGCTGCCGTATTATCTTATGCTTCCGTTGTGCAACTTCAGTAACATAGGTACTTGTTGCCTGGCTAATCTCTTGTTCTAACAATGCAAAATCCAAGAGATGGAAATTGTTTACTCGTGCCTTTGGCAATTTGAATTTTTAGCACATTTTCTCATTTCTGAAAAAAATGCACTATTGTGCTTGCCATGTCCATCCGTCCGTCTGTCCGTGACTCACTTTTTTGTCGACAAGAAAATGCACTCTCTGTCACTCACTGCAGTGAATACTGAGTTATATTTTTTCCTAATTGACCAACTTTGATTCATTATATTATTTTTTAAAACTAGGTACTATCCTTGCTTGATTGAAATCACTTGCAGCCATGTTAAATGTTAACATCTAATGTTATTTTTTGTTGCAGATAAATTGTATGCAGTATAAATTATTGTTCAAAAATGTCTGGAGGTAAAGATTCTCCCATGGTGATAGACTCAGATGGGTCTGACAGTTATGAATCAGAAGATGATTATTCTCCTCCTGGATCACCAAGGTCAAGAACAGACACTCCACCCCCTCCACCACCAGGCACCACATCTGATGGATCCCCTGGACAAGACAACATAGTTGATGGTGCTCAGGACTATGTTGATGTGGATGAGAGTCCTGTAGTTGTGGATGAGAAGGCTGCCTTGCTGGAGGAGTTTGAGAGGAAGAGAAGGGCCAGACAAATGCATGTGCCTACTGAGGATTCAGAGGTAAAAATATGTAACGCATAGCTAGATTAATTCCGTCTGAGCAATACTTTGTTTCATACAAAATTTTCAACCTTGTCTTGCTTAAGTATTCAATATTTATAGGTAGCTCTTTAAATTTTAATGAATGGTTAAGTTTTCACCATTCTGATGTTGATTCTGCAATAATTTATTCATATTCTGTTAGCATTTTTTTGTTCTACAGTGCCAACTTTTTCTGTCGAGCATGTGGAAAAATATTTGTCTGGAATATTTTTAACAAAATATATATTATTATTAATATATAATATATATTAATTAATTTCCACCGTTGATTATCTGATCAACCCCAGAACAATAATATATAGAAAACATTCAATAGTTCAAAAGAGACATAGGTAATGTAATAAATGTATGTACTCGGTAATACGAATAAGAGGGATAAGATGTGCTGACCAAACTACCCTCACTAACAATAGTCTCATAAAGATGCTTATGGTTTGCAGGTCGGAGCTGTGCTGCGCCAGCATGGTGCTCCGTTCTGTCTGTTTGGTGAAGGTCCGGCTGAACGCAGGGATCGTCTTAAAGACCTCTTGTCCCGCCTCACTACTGACCAGCAGCAACAACAACAACAGCAGCAGCATGTCACAAAGCAGGGTTTGTTTGTATTGTCAATGGTAAAAATATGTTCTGTTGTTTGATTGCATGTTTTATTTCAGCAATACATTTATTAATTTTGCATTTCTGCAATATGTTGAGAATTTTTAACATTTTTGGGCTGTATAATTTCGCAATTTTAATTTGATATTTTAAGGAATTTTGTAAACCCCATCATATATCATGCATATTATCTACAATGTTGGAACTATAAGGCAGTTAGCTTGCTTGAGTCAGTGAAAAGTTTACAATTCTATTCCATCCAATGATATTACTATGAAGCAAACTCTAATCTCATGTTATTTTTTGTTAGAGAAAACTTTATTTATTTCATATTAAAAGGTGGTTTTGTTTCAGAGCTGCCTTCCGTTCGTCGCAAAGAAGAAACTTGGTATCATGAAGGACCCAAGAGACTGAAAGAAGTGCGTCAGAATTTATTACAGTATTCAATACCTCGGGCACGTGATAGACTTGAGAAAGAAAGAGCCCTCAATGCCGACCCTACTCTCATCACAGCCCAAAAGTTTGTACATTTATCACTCCTTTTTATACCACTGACAGTGACCCTTCTCCCTCATTACAGATTTAAAATCTTTCCCAAAAATGAATGAATATTTTAATCTGAATGAATTTAATGTATGATCCCAATAAATTTAATATAATAGTATAATATATAATAATAATAATAGATCTCAATCAATTTAATTGTTTTTCACAGTTGAGTTTTCAAAGTTAATCGCACTTATTAACATACGGTAGTTAACTTCTTGGATTAGATTCTGTGGGTGATTACAACAACAACATTACCCTGATCACAATCTTCATGCTACTTGTCAACTCTTTAACCGTCTTCAAACAAATCAGATCATTGTTAGTTTTATAAATTTACTTTTTACAATCTGATTTATTTGAATAAATCAGATTCCACTCCTGATAAAACTTTGCCCTGGTGTTTTTCACGACTGAATTTACTACCTTTTAGTCAAACTTTTTCACATCATGTAGTCCTTGACATATTATTTCATTTTTAATAAATTTGTATTCATTTATAATAAATTTCCACTTGTCAGACAGGAAACGTCAGCACGGTTACGTCGCTACCAGCTTCTTATCAGCCAGAATGCCGACATTCGCCCTGTGAGCTGCGTCAGGTTTAGTCCTGACGGTCGGCAGCTGGCAACCGCAAGCTGGTCTGGCAATGTGCAGGTCAGTGTCAGCCTTCGTTATTTCTTTCGTGATTTAGTTCACCGAATGTAATGAGCGAATACTTGGACATCACGATCTTGATCTTGTACATCGTAATCTGTTTATTCTACGATTTTGCGATATGGGAACATTTGAAAATTTAGACAAATTTCTAGCAGGGTTGAAGTTTCTTGTATGAGTGGTTGTTACTATTGTTGTGATGCCTCGTAATGGGCCAAGTAGTTACCTCTCGTACAACAGTCTGATAATTTTACCATAACTTATGTATCATTCTACTATTTGAACTTTGTTCTGCTATGGAGTGTTTGTAAATAGTAAAAATGGAAGCATGGAAGATATCTCTGTTAACACTCCATTCAAACATCATTTCGGTCAAAGTAAGCAAGGTTGAATTCTGGAGGTTTAATATTTGAATAAGTGTATATTCGATCTTATTATCTGATACTAGATTTATCTTCTATATTCAGCTAATATTTTGGAAATGATGAGATAGATAGTCTAGAAAAAATTTGAATATATGAAACACGATTCCTAGGAGTCCACTCTGACCTGAGTCACCACATCAGGTATGGGACGTATCAGACGATGGTCGTGACGGCAGCCGCTCTCTCCGCGGCCACGAAGGTCACGTGGACAGCCTAGCGTGGCACCCCCAAGCCCGCATCTCACAGTCTCCTGCCCAGTTGAACCTCGCGTCGTGTGGGCGCGACGGATCCGTGCTGCTCTGGGGGCTGGAGTCCGAGTCGTGCATCGCTAGCCTCCCCAGCGTGGGCGCCAGGGCTACTGAAGTCGCCTTCCATCCCTGCGGCACACTTCTGGCGGTCACCGTGGATGATGCCAGCTGGAGACTCTGGGACGTTGAAGCGGGGGAAGAGGTAATTCAGTAAAATTCACTCCAATTTGTTTTTATTTGTTGAAAATACGAATAGTACACACCCACGTTCAGTTATTTAAGCTCTGTATAGTCTAAAATATAGAGAATCATCAGAATGATAAATTCCTCGCATCATTTACACAGGTGCTGTTCCAAGAAGGGCACAGCAAGGGCGTGTGTTCGATCAGTTTCCAGAAAGACGGCGCACTGGCCGCTACGGGCGGCATGGACAACTTCGGTCGTGTATGGGATTTGCGTACCGGCCGCTGCGTGATGTTCATGGCTGGGCATCAAGGTGCCATCTTGTCCGTGGACTGGTCTCCTGATTGCTACCATCTGGCGTCTGGCAGCGCGGATAATTCTGTTCGCATTTGGGATGTACGACAACGTGTCTCGATTCTCACGTTGCCAGCGCACACAAAGCTTGTGTCTGCAGTGCGATACGAGCCGTGCAACGGGTCATACCTCGCAACGTGTAGTTACGATGGCATGGTACGCTTGTGGCCTCATAAAGTCTGCCAGCCCCTCAGGACCCTGCAGGGGCACGGCCATAAAATCATGAGTGTCGATATCAGCCCTGATGGCACCTCAATTGCCACCGGCGCCTTCGATAAGACTTATAAAATTTGGGGACCTGATTAATTTTATAATTGTTTTTTTTTACGTTTAAACTTATTATAGTACAAAAAAACCCTTACGTTTGTAGACCAGCACAGGATTTAAATGCATCTATCGGGTATGGTAGTTCATCTCCTACATTACTACAACGTAAAACATTTTGAAACGTGAATAGAATCGTCATCATTTGTGTGAGATCTATCTAATTCTATTTTACATAATTCAAAGAAGCAAATGCCTTTTTTACTATTTTCCGCGTTTCAGTTTTAAATTAACGTCCATTTTCAATCCGGCACTATGAAGGTTGTAAATATACTTCTACTCGGCTTTTGTCTTCTTTACTCCAGTTTTGGCATCTTCCTCACAGTATTGTCGTATTCTGAAATATTTATTAGAATCGGATTGACCCGCGGTGAAAATTGATTACCTATTTCTTAGAAATTTTTGCTTCTTCAGAATATTCGTTCATTCCTTAGTAGGAAGCGGGAATTTCCTAACACCACATTTTGTCGCCCTCCAATAAATATTGAAATTTTGCATTTCAACTTCACTGAGCCATCCATCACCATGTACCATCGGTCATTAAAATGGAAAAATAAAATCAAGCGTTTTCGGACTTAGACATCTTTTGTACTCTGTATGATAGATATATGGATACTGGTTATAGTTGGTTTTGAGCTTCATTTTATCATTTGAGATTAATCAGGATGTGTTAATCACATTTACTGTTAGACTTCTGATTCAATTTGAAGTAAGTCGGTATTCGTGATACTTAATTCTCATAAGTGTGTCAGTGAATTGTTTCTTGTTATTCCCGAGAAAAATTATCTTCTCAAGATGTAGAGCTTCGGCGTATTATCGTGTGTGTTGCTTGCTATGCTCGAGCTTAGCCTCCAAAACAAGTTACGGATAACAACAAATTCTCCTCCAACATCCCCTCTCGGCTGTAATTATAGTATTGCGAACCCTTCCGACGATGGGCAGTACTACGCTGGGGAAACTAAAATCGTCTTTACCTGCTTCGACTACTTCGATGAAGACTAGCCACTTTAATACGAAATCATTAGTGATTCTTAAGCTGGGTAATCCGTGGTATACAAAGGTAGCAGTAACACAGCTGAAGTGAAATTACCTTCTGGTTCTCATACGTTTTCTGTCATTATCACCGACGCTGCTGGTGAATATAGCGAAGTGGGTATGGGTTCCTTGGAAGTGCTTAAGTGCAGAATGGGCTAGGATGAATTGGTGAGCAGTATGTATGAAGACGTGCACAACAGCCGAGGTGATGAGGATGTGACACGGTTATCCAAGAATTTTCGTATATTGAACCTTGCCAGCGAAATCACGTCGGAAGAGAAGAGGAAAGAAATTACTGCATTTTTAGCCAATGAAGTTCTTCGAATTTTGAAAATTGGAAATGGTGGTGACATCATAGCTGTAGATTTCGCAGCCGAGGCTTTAAATAGTACCTCTTAAGAGCAGCCTGCTGACGAGTTTATGCTTCGTACCACAGCGCACATCACTGAATAAGTGAGTCAAGCGAGAAAATCCGGCTATGGAGAATTAATTGAGCAAGGATTTGCAGGGTAAGAATCCCCTTAGGTAAAGGAGGCTCATACAATTGTCTAAGCTGTTGAGCTAATAAATAACAAGACGAATGAGAGTGATTTAAATAACGCGTCGAAAGCTGAACTAAATGCTGTCAATGGAAGAACCATATCCAACGTAGCGGATAAACTTCTGCAGGATCATTTTGCCGATACCAAGTCGCTGGAAGTTGTGACTGAAACAATCCATATTAAAACTTTTAAAGGAGATACAATTAATTAAAAAGGGCGAATTTTAGAAGTCAGTGGAACCAAAATAATGTTCCCTGAAGGTTTAGGGGAGAATGGAACTACCGGTGGTGTTACAATAGTTGTAACGGATGAAAACCCATACGAAGATGCTACAGACGGGCTTATTTTCGTGACGCCTTTTGTTAACGTTACTATTCATGATCTTTTCAAGGGGAAAAAGACCGGAGTACCAATTACAATGATATTGCCTCGAAAGAAATCTCCCTAAATTTACCGATCGATTGTTAAACTCCAGGGAACTCTTAAGTGCACTAATGTGAGTGGCATAGGAAGCTTTGGCTGGCGAATTTTTTCCCATAAATTTTAACAGATGGTCCTCCAGGTTTCGGCGAGAGGTTAGAACATCATGACTTTTGACAAATTGGTTCCTTAAAACTAAGAGTCATCTTATCAGGACTAATGGGAAAAATACCGGCAGACCATTTTGCTCATGTTTGGTAGTGACCATCCTTCTGGAGGTGTGAAATTCTGTCTGATGCCCAATTTGCCGGTTGTTCGAGCTCTTCCCTACAACCACAACGTCATAATAAAGAAGAAAGCTCTGTTCACTAAGAGCAACAAGATAATTTTTGCCAATTAAAAACGCAGTCGTGCTGTCTCAGTATCGAATAATGATTACCTTGACTCGAATCTGTCACTCTTCTTTTCGTTCGCATTCACCAACTAAACTATGCTGCCTCTGCCTCCCTTGGACTATGTCGCAGAATGCAATAAAATTGTATCACGGTCTGCGGGCACGGAACTGAGGCTTTCTCTACACGTTTAGTAGATCACAGCTCAGTGCGGTGTTTTCGATGAAGAGGCCAGAAAATATAAGCTCGCTAAATATTGTTATGTAGGAGATGATAGCACGGAGCATGAAGTACATTGTGTTTGTTATGGAACTTCTCTACACAGCGCTTTTTCACATCCCCCTCTCAACGAAGTCAAGTGGAACTTGAGCATAAAAACCATTTAAAAGAATCCGGAACCTGTGAAATTTATTTCTATAGCATTCGGCATTCTTTTCTGCCTCTATTTTGCTGCGGTTTACGTTGATTTCAAGCGTAAGCATGAAGTTGTCTACGTTGACGAGAAGGTTTAAACAAAAATTAAACACAATTTGTATTATGTCGTTGTCACATCAAGCCGCTTTTCTATACCTGCTAATAGGAGACAGAGTTTGAAAATCCAAATAATCGGTGATCATCGTACAAAATTCCACGAGATAAACTCGAAAATTCCACTAAGAGCGGGATAGAGAGTTTTCTCAGTAATTCGGTCATTCGAGTGGGTTGGGAACATAACCAAAGTGAAGGTAGTTCTCACCGATAGAGAAGTGTCACAGAAGACCAACTGGCGTGTGGATTCGATAGTGATAGTAGACCCTTAACTTAAACAGACGTGCCTTTTTGAAGTGGATAAAGTACTGTCGCACATACCATAAACATTCTCTCGAGCTACAACGCATAGAGAAGCATCATGGACATTTCCAAGAGAGCTAGAATTCAACACGAGCAGCTTCGTTTGGATCGGTAAATCGGTATTGTACGAGTGGGCTTTAGTTGAGCCTGCCGTGTTACTTTTTCTGCCATCTCAAGAACGACTGAGCAGATCAGAGAAAATCCTTATTTACGCTATAACGCTCTTTGCATAGGCGTTTAGTAGCATGGTGTTCTTCAACCCAAGCACTTTCATTGCATTACTGGGGCGCCATGTTCGCGACGACTGTTTCCCTAAAGCGACGCTCACAGATAATTTTGCCTAGAGTAACGTCGGAGTGGCTACTGCCATTATTATAAAATTTGTGATTGTTCATGGACTGAAAGGTGTTTTGAGCCTAGGCTTGCGCCGAACATTGCGCGGATATGAATTGGTTACCCGTAACAGCACAGTTAGATATTATGTTCAAAAGCGAGCGCTATACCTTCCCCGATATGCCAGGTCCTTCATATACGTTGCTTGCTACTTCATACTCTGCGGGTCTGCTTTCTTCTGCCTGATTTTAGGTTATAGTTTGAACGAGAGCAAATATGTGCTCTGGCAAAAGGACTTCATCACCAATATATTCGTTAATATGATCATAAAAGTATTGTTGGAAGGTGCAAAATTTACTTTTCTGCTAGTCAAACAGTTGCGTTTTGCATACAAGCTAGAGAGAGCGTCTGATAGAGAAGTCCGGCAATTCTAAATTGCTCGTTCGAATGTTCTCCTCATGTAACCGAACTGTCCCTTGTGTCATGCGATAGTTCTAGTTCCGATGATGTACCACCTACCCGTGCACAATGTTCTGGGTTCGCTACCAAGACCCATGAGCAACATCTGGCTGCAGGCGTCGATGGCTCAAGCTGGTAGAAGTCAAGTCTTCGGATCTGCTGTGCTAGAATAAGCCCAGCGTCCGGGAATGCTGCTCTCTCGCTCTGATGACGAAGTATTACCCAAAAATGAATTTTCAGCGATTGGTATGGTGAAATTCATATCTTGAATATTTATCATCCACTTTTGGTTGAGGCTCTGTAATTGAGCTGAAAAATTGAATGTGATTTTTTTTCAGCTAATGATCATTGACAATTTATTTCGTTGGAGAAATATTGAGCATCTCTTGAAACGATATCCCGCAGTGAAATCCGTGATAATGCACATTGTTTCATGTACTTAATATTTATCTTTTCATACATATATTCTAAGTAGCTAATTGGTGTATTGATTTGAAAATTTATTCGTTCAACCATTCGTAGTTCAACCATGATATTGAACTTATATCTATATGATTGAAGTTGTAGTTCAACCATGAGGGAACTCCAACGCAAAACGTAACTTTTGTGCACCGAGCAACTCATTAGTCCTTCAATTCTGAACTGATCTCCGTGAAATTTAGATCATAGCTAATTATCAGTCATTCGCCACGATATAAATTATTGCAGATTTAGTATGCAGATTTAGTATGCAGATTTAGTATGAAAATGTGATGCGTGGCTGATGGCCGTTGCAAAGGCCTGACCATGAAATTCTTTTTCTCAGAGTCACCACGCCCCAAATCCAAATCCAAATTAAGTGAAAAAGCGCAACTTTTGCACAATTGAATAGCTCACAATATCTTCAAGTTTGGATAGATCTACCTGATATTAGGAACATATCTAATTCTTATCAAGACATCGCTTTAGTAATTATTAACGATTTTTACGTCATTACCTTTTCGATTAAAGGAAAAAATTCAACTTGCGAGCAACTGAACAGCCCGCGACCCCCTCAATTCTGAACGGATCCACTCGAATTTCAGAACATGTAATATTGTTTTCAGTTCCCTATTATAGTAATTATGCAACGTTCTTGCGACTTTTCGTTTTTGATCAAAACGGAACTTTCGAAAAATTAGGTTCTGTTAGGTTAAGATCCGTTTTTAGGGTTACGATCAGAAAACACTGGTCCGGGATTGCCCGACTCATGGTTGAACTAATACTGAAAACATGAAATACACGAAAATAGTAA